ATTGTAGGGTATACCGTTTCTGCCTAGAAGTTCGTCTAGGTAGGTACCACCCTCTTATCTAACTCTGCCGTCATATGGTAGTGCTTGCACTGTTGTGTTCCGGCGTGAGGGATATAGAGAGTCAGTATAACTACAGGCTGTGAGGCATTCCATCTTAGTCCTCAGATTTGACAACGCATCTATATAGCCTTTTTTGTTTCAACTTGGCTGCTATTTTCTGCTATAGCCACTTGCTCAGATGGCCTGTAAGTTCATGTATCTCTTCAGTTTTATAAAAATAATCTTGGCATTGTGGTAATATGCCTTCACAGCATGTTGGCGCTATGCGATGCTAGAATGGCGTCCAAAACGTCATAAACCAAAAATTGTGGCGTCAAAAACTAAACTAACTGGCGTGGCGCATCGGTGCTGGATCTAGCGTTTTTTGCTTACGGCGCAATTTAGCCAGCTCCGAAATTATTGCGGCGTCACAAGTCTGAGGACGTAAAATTTTAAGTGTAAATCCAGCATCACGTATTGGAGCAGCGCTGCGGACTATCTGCTTCACGTTCTTTTCAGAAATGGAAGGATGCATGTTCCCTACATTATGACTAGTGTAGATCTGTAGATAGACTATATGCTAACGCAACGCGTCGTGTATCTTCACCCTAAATGGCTCGCGGGACGACAGTGTGAACTACACATTACAAAAAAATCTATTGGTTATCACGTTTAGAGTTAGGTATGGAGAATATCTGATCGACAGAGCAAAATTATTCGAGATCCTTTTTGTATGTAATCGTAAAGACAAGCATAATCTACCAAGAAATGTATAGAATGATATAACTTAATTGTAGAATATCATTTCAAATTCACCGCATTTGGATATGATGATGATTATGAAGAAAAATTTTATATTGCAATCATCAAGTTGCTTTCTAGAACTATTGTTTGTGAAAATGTTGTCCAATATGTATGACTAGCTGTTCCCCGCGAATTCGCGAGCGTGAAATTTATTACGATTGGGTTTTATAGGTTTTTTTTTGTGCAGAACCCTAATTATTTTTCTAACACAAAAGTAGCCTAAGTTACTCGTTATAACATTAGATATCTTCCAGTGAAAGTCCGTCAAAATCGGTCCAGAGCCGTTTCGGAGATTAGCCGGAACATACACACAGACAGGCAAAAATTTTAAAAATTAGCTATATTCTTGTTATAAATTATAAGTACCGTATATACTTTCATATTATGCATTTAGTAAAAAGCTGTAATTTTGACATTACAAACATACACTTCAATTTTATTTACTTGTATAGATATAGATTAGGTACCTAGGTATAAATTATTTAGATTAGACATTACTAAAATACTCAACCAAAGTATGTAGTACATTTTGTACTATTATTCATTCTGTGGTAGTGTACTCTTATTTATTCTGTGACAAAGTACTAAAATACGAGTTAGAATAATTGTAGCATCTCCTGTTACATACCTACTTATTATGTTCTTTCACTGTTCACACAATGTATATTTTTACGTTTTATGTGACGAATGTTATACACATAGAATAATTCTATAGTAATAATTCTATGGTTATACATATTTTAATGTGTATAAAGTTATAATGAATGCATGAATATTGTGACAAGAGGAAACAACAAATATTTAACACTGATTTCACGCTTTCACTAACTATTTTTTTCACTTCTTTCTTTATTAATAAGTTTTAATAATTTCGATAAATGTGCAGAATAAAAACATAACCTTTCACAATAATGTCACTAGTCACTACAGTCGATTCTCTATTTGACACTTCTGTAATGAATGACCTCAAGGTCGAATAACCAGCTGACTGATGTTGAATAGTATTTTTTTTTTGGACTTTATGGCCTGGCATCTAGACCTTTAGGCCAAATGCTGAATAGTACAAAATGATAAAGGTTAACCTTATATAATTTAAAAATTCTACTAAATCAGTTATTTTTGATAGTAGTGTTGTGTGCACTTAGAATAAATTGGATGGATTGGAGTTTATTAAGATAAAGCGAAAGAAAAACCTAATAGAGAGAAAGGGGTGGGGGAGTGTAGATTCACCCCCCACCTTTTCCCCCAGCTGGACGTGCCTATTTTTGTATATTAAATGAAGATTAAAAATTTTATTGAGCAATTTCTGAGAAAAATCGCTTTAATAAGGAGGGGCGCGTATTTTACGCTGGTATTCTATGAGAACGTGGTCATTCCCCGGTCGAGCCGACCCATTCGTGCTACAACTATACTATTAATATAGCAGTAGCATGGCTCTACCACGTAAAAAATATTTCAGGATGGTTTTTTAAAAAATAACCACAAAGGGGATGGAGGGGTCTGTTCGATCGCTTCGCTCGCTCACTCGACCCCGCCATCCCCTTCTAACCTAACCTCTCCGAGTCGGGGTGTCCCAAGTCACGTTCTCGTTTCGCTCGCTCTTGCACCAAATAAAACACCAAAATGTTAACTTTTATAAATACTTTAATAAGTAAACATATTTTATTACTTCCACTATTTCCAAAAATGGATCTTTATTATATTTCATAATGTTCCGCCTCCAGAAGTACTCCACTATCGCATCACCAAAATTCTCTGGATTATTGTAATTATCTTTAAAAAAAAAACGCTTCACGGTTATCCATTGTGACTCAATCCTTTCTGTGTGAGTCCCATTAAAAATTTAGATAAATTTAAGTTCCGTTTCAGGTTTTTAGTGTTAATTAGTGATTTCTGAATATTTTTAGAAAATAATTTTAAATATTTTGTTTCAGCTCTGGCAGCTAAAATTGCATGGGGACGTTTGAGATAAGCTCCTTTGACCCCCCCTCCTCTCCCCTTCCCCTACAGTGACAGACTAATCAAATTCAGGCGACTTGATTAGAAACCCAACCCAAAATAAGAATAACTATTATTTCTAGAGAATTATTTATGCAAAATTACACATTAATTAACGTGACAGTGAACAAATAATACTATTATTCCTAGCGAACACACTACACACTATCGCTAGAGTGAATGCCATCTGAAACTATATATCTATAATCTATATATAACTATATATATCTGTTATAATATCCTTATTGGATATTTTTTATTTATAATTGACAAATTCTTGTTGCCGATTTTTGCACACCGTCATTACGCTATAAATAGTAAGTACAGAAAAGTAACAGAAAATTAATTGTTAAAAAGAAATATTTATTTTTCTGCAAAATAAAACAACACAAAAACATCAGTATCGCACAAAATGAGTCTCTATCTCAGAATTTATATTTCAAATCCAAAAAATATTCTACATAATACATACATACATAAACACTCACGCCTGTCACCCAGAGGGGTAGGCAGAGACTACGGACTTCCATTTGGCGCGATCCTGACACACCTCTCTCGCCTCTTTCACATCCATATATCTACGCATACACGCTCGTCGGTTAAGGGTACTCCTAATCTGGCCCATTTTCAATGTATCGCCGATCTGGTCGATATATAATATTCTACACATTTTTGAAATGTAATCTTTAAGACAAAACGATTTTTTTCGTAATGTTATAAGATCCCTAGAGGAGTTTAAGGCTATAATGATACCTAATTTGTCAAAATACACCATTTAATTTAGGGAATAAGAGGTAAAAATTATACATTTACAAATAGCTCGCTAAAATCATAACCCTCCTTTTGGTTTTGCCGGAACTGTGTAAAAAAGTAGGTTAAAAATAAAAAAAGAAATGGGATTAGGTTTAAAAACTAACATTTTAACTTGTTTAATTGAACTGCATTTCCATATTTATTTTAGATGCTAATTATTATATTTTCTGAAAAAAAAAACATTGTCTGCTAATATAGAGCACGGCACGGGCCATCGGCGGACTGGAGGGGAATAGCCATAGCATTTTCTCCGGTACAGTCATGTCATTTTTTTGTGGGGGATATGCCTTTCCAGTTTCACACAATTGAAAATGAAAATCTTAAAAATAGCAGGTATCGGCAGTTTTTTTGTTTATCTAGCAGAACCGTAAACTTAAATCTGGTCACACCGAACGCAATGAGAAAGAAATGCCCTATATAGTATATTATCTAATCTATCTACGTCTAATATCTATGATCAGATTAAAGTCACTGTCAAACGAAAATGACTAGACGTAGGGATGGGCAAAGGAAAAAATATATAACGAATCGATATTTTTAAACAGTATCGATATATATCGCGTGATAAATACCGATATATCATTATCATTTGCATGATGTAAAGAAAAGGTCCAAGATTTTATATAACTGCCCGTTGGACGACGAAAAAAAAAACGACAACCAACCACACATGAATACTTTTGACCTTCTTTTGTGGTTACATGTTTTTTCATTAATACAACATTTTAAAATATATCTAAATTGATACGAACTCGATACTCTAAAATAATTATCGATATATCGAAATATCACGATTCACGATATTTTTATTAAAAAATGTCGATATATTGATATTTTATGCCCAAGCCTAATTAGACGAACGAATCGACAACTTCCTTTACCTTTACTAAAATTAAACAAATAACTATGTAAAACTCAGTGAATAAATACTCTTTTCAAATAACAAGTTTAACGAATTCAAGGAAAATATTTGAAGATAAAACTATGTCTGGTTGCAATTTTATTTTATAATAATTGATTTCCACTGGAGCAAAATTGAATTTAATGGTCTATCATTTTGGGCCTACTCTGGCCTACTTTTATAATTATTTTGACGCCTTGATCAATATAACCTTGTCGGTTGTCGGTACAATTATCTAACCGAAACCTCGTCTCTGTTCGATATTTTATTTAATTTTAAAGAATTAATTAGTGTAGGGGTCCTAGTGAGTCCTAATTTGTGTAACAATTATTTAAAATAGCTCAATGAATTTAACATACTATTATTAACAAACAAAGTATATCTAAAAGTACCATTCAGTATCAGTTTCTAATAAAACCCAACTTGTGTAAAGATTATTTTAAAAATGCCTGATGGTGAAGTAGATTTTTTTCGCGACACATGGGTTCGTTATTTAGGTAAATATTCTATTTAAATTATTTTGTAATACAGATATTTTTAATATGTAATTAATTGCCCTATTGTAAAAGATTTTATCTGTCTATGGATGTGAATTATTATAAAAAATCCCAGAGGCCTATGCTAAGTGGCACGCCGAATTGCGAGATATAGGAAATAAAATTAATAAAATCAAAAATGTTAAACTGCATGTAGTTCGGAATAAAAGGGTTTTATTATTAAGATAAATCCTTAATTTGCTAAGTTTTCTACTAAGATATAGTTTTAAACTGATACAATAATTTTATTTATATTTATAATTGCTTACCTTTCGTCCTTAGTTATATAATGGTCACTGAATAGATCCATATTCCTCTTTTCAGGTTATGCAAATGAAGTTGGAGAATCGTTCCGCTCAATGGTGCCTTTGCGAGTAGTGCAAGCTAGTTACGGTGTTGCCTCTGCTTATGTACTCGCAGATACTGTGGACAAAAGTTGGAAAATGTTTAAGGTGTGTTTATATCTTATGCTAATTTGGCAATACTTGATCATGTACCTAAGACAGAAAATAATGTAACAATAAATTCTGCCAACATGGTTATAATATTACTTACTACCTGCTACTGTTGGTGAGCTCTTGTATTTGTGTGTACATACAATTTTTTTTGTAGGATGGGTGACAAACAAGCACACAGTCCATCTGATGGCAAGTGCTGTGCTCCATAGACATCTAGATCTATTCTCAATAAAGAATCACAATGCAGATGCGTTGTCATCCGTGAAGGCTAAGATGGAATACCTCTTTTCCAGTAAAAAGGGTCTCCAGTTCTCTATACATTCACCATACGAAACACTACAGCATTAAGCTGCTATTTTACGCTGGTATTCTGGGAGAGCGTGGTCCTACCCAGCCGAGTCGACCCATTCGTGCTGCAACCACAATGTAGCAGCTGCATGGCTATACCACGTAAAAAATCATGTACGTAAGACAGAAAATAATGTGACATTAAGTTCTGCCAACATGGTTATAATATTATTTACTGCCTCTTACTGTTGGTGAACTCTAGCATTTGTGTGCATAATATGTGCAGGCACTTATATGAAGCTTTCATACTCTTATTTACTCTGATTCAGTCTGTAATGTTCTTGCATGGTAAGGTTTCTGAAAAAATCTATGATTAGTCATACTTTTTAAGACAGGTGCTTAATATTTCCTTACTAGGAGGTTAAGTATAGCCATTTTGCAAGTAAATACAGCCAGAATTTTTCGCACTATCTCACAGAGAATATTGTGGCTATAATATGATAATGTAATATAATTTTTACTTTATTATAAATGTTGTGTATATTATGTAAATAATATAGTTTATTGTTTGGGGAATGAAGCTGCTTGCATCCTTAAGAAATATTATTAATTTCTGACTCCCTACACGTATCCCCTGGGAGAGCAAGAACACTTGTTATTAGTCACTACCCACTTGGAAAAGACGTACTGCCAAATGATATAATTGGTGTTCCTGCACTATGTTAGGTGAAACTGTTTTCTTTGAGAAGATGGATCAGGAATGCAACTGGCGTCGGAAACCGGTTGTTAGCGATGGTTTCTTAGTGTCGGCTGTCTAGTTATTTAGGCTAGTGGTATCCGAAGCAGGTTTCGCCGAAAATGGATAGTTGGGGGCCTAATGAATGAGTCAGTTTCTTGTAAAATGCTGACCCGCTATCTAAAAGTCCTGGAACACCATGCCGGTTAACGACCAGAGGCGAGGACTTGGTCTCTATGCTAGGCAACATCAATTCTGTTATAATGATGTCAACGTCGGCCTAGTTTCATTTGATGCATTGTGCATAGGTCAGGATCTAATTAAGTTTTTATCAAATAAGTTTAGTTTTTTGTTAGAAAATAATTTACTAAAAACATTGCAAACTGACTCAATTTTACAGTTCGATGATCTGTTTTACTCATGCTGGCTTTTAATATGGTCAGATCAATTATTTTTGTTAATGGTATTCTTCTTTCATCTTCTAGGTTTTCCATTTTTTGTACAGACTTCCTCCTACTAGGAAGTTTGTATTGTAGTGTAGACCTGCCGGATTGCACTCATTTAACTTACATAAAATTCCTCATTACTTTTGTATCAACATTTCAGAAAGACGGGCGACCTAAGAAAGTATTGATAGAAACGGGGGATGCATTGCTGTGGCAAACTTTGGCTTCTGTTGTAATACCAGGATATGCTATAAACAGGTATACAAATATGCCAATATTTCATCAATAATTAAAAAAAATCTGATCTTATTTTTTATAGGATAAGGGTGACAAGCGAGCACACAGTCTACCTGATGGTAAGTGATTACTGTGGCCTATAGACATCTACATCTACCCTCGTTTGCGAATCAAAATGTATATGTGTCGTCAGCCGTGAGGACTAAGATGGAATGCCTCTTTTCCAGTTAAAAGGGTCTCTGGTTCTCTACATTCACCATACCAAACACAGCAGTAGTAATCTGTTATTTTACTCTGGTATTCTGTGAGAACATGGTCCTTCCCATTCGTGTTACAAGTATAGAATAGCTTAAATAAATTATATAAAATTATTTATCTGTACATATTGTCATTTAGTGAAATGAGAGCTGAAGTGTAAATGGTATAGCTTGATGAAGCAACAACCTGCCATGTTTGATGACCCCTCCCTCACTAGAGTGGCGACCTGGTAAGACATGCAGGAAGTTGATGGATGGAAGCAGGTGGCTCAGACCGTGGTTTGAGACATTACTTGTTGGTAGGTCATCAAAACCCGGTTCTTTCGGTTCCTTTACAAAATTTCTTAAAAAGTATATCACTGCAATATAGTGTTCTAAAAACGTTATTATTAATCATTTCTGCTATTTATGGCAAACAGTAGGATTTGTAATGATATTTAATTTAATTTGGTAAACATTTTCAAGGGTTCCCCCACTAAAAGTGACGAAATTCGTCCAAAGCATATCGTAGCTGAATTCGGACAAGAATATTGTTTGGTTTTAGATGTAAAGACACGCTGGAGCAGCATAGCCGCGATGTTTTCTGAAGTTAAAAACGATCAGAAAATCATTAATTGATTTAAAATCAGATAGTGTAGGTTTTTACTGAGGAAGACTGGACAAACATAGAAGAGTTAAATAATATATTGGATGTTTTTAAAAATATCGTAGATGCTCTATCCTATCGCGATGCAACATTGATTACAGCCGATGCTTCTTTAAAATTTGATATAAGAAAATTAATTGAAATGAATACTCATCTTAGTAATAAAATGGTCACTGCATTGCGAAAACAATATAAAAAAAACATGCAAGCATCAATACTGCAATACTTAACCAATCTTGACAGTTATTTTGCCAGTATGGTCGAAGATGCAATGATCTTTTCCCGGCCTACAAGTGATGAAAGGTTACACGAAATTGAAATGAACGTGGTAGAGCCATGCTGCAGCTATATTACTGGTATATTTTTAGCACGAATGGGTCAGCTCGACCGGGGAAGGACCACGCTCTCATAGAATACGCTGCTGTGTATGGTGAGTGTAGAGAACCGGAGACCCTTTTTACTGGAGAAGACTTTCCATCTTAGTCCTCACGGCTGACAACGCATCTGCATTTTAATTCGCAAACGAAGATAGATGTAGATGTCTATAGGCCACAGCAACCACTTACCATCAGGTGGATTGTGTGCTTGTTTGTCATCCTTATTGTATAAAAAAAATCGCACAAAAGCTAGACAAAAAGTATTCCTTGAAGAAACGCCAGCAATTGGATGTCAAAATCTCCAGGAAGTTGAATTACATGAATCCCCCCTAACAAATGAAGATGAATTTAATAGAGAGCTGTCTAAAGCTGTTAATGCTGCTACTGAATCGACAGATCATGAAAATGACTTAATTACTACTGTGAGAGTTGAAATGGCTCTATTTGATAATGGTGGGCAAAGACAACGAGTACTAAGTACTTATCGATAGCTTAGGAACATTTAAAAACTATTTCGCCCACCAGTGTAGAGCCAGAGCAAATATATTTTTCTTATTGCAATAATAGGCTGCGTTCGTCTTTTAGTGATAAAAATTTGCATACATTAATTTTTCTGCGTTTTTTTTATTTAAGTAAAATTAAGAAGTAATGTTTAATTAAAACTATGTTTTTTTCATAAGTGAGTTGATTTATGTTTTGTAATAAATAACGGTATCCGTAAAGTATATTCTATGATAGAATATTGTAATGTTATAATAGAATAGAATCTTTTTAAATTATTTTTATGTTTGAATGATATTAAAATTTAAGTAATTTGAAATAACTGTTAACGTTCAATTGTAAAATGAATGTTCCTAGTTAGTGAGATGTTTGATTATATTTAATTAGAAAGAAACTTTTTTTGACGAACATTGCAACTATTACTTGAATAATTACTTTAACCCACGATTTGCAATAAACTGATTTCTTTATGAATATTATTATCGTTATTCACATTGTACGAAATAGCCTCCAACCTAAAAGAAAGAAAAGAACCAAAAGAACCGAAAGAACCGGGTACCCGGTTCCGGCAAAAGTTTAGAACCGAAAGAACCGGTTCCTGGAAATGGACCGGTTCTCGATGCCCTACTTGTTGGAGGTCTGTGTTCAGCAGTGTTTTAGGGTTTTAGGGCAGGGAAATGTCCGCCGCGCTGCCCCAATGCGTGTTGGCGAACTTCACATGTCTGTGAAATGTTTTTTTCTTATTTCTCAGACATGCAGGTTTCCTCACGATGTTTTCCTTTACCGCTGAGCACGTGGTAAATCAGCACTTAAAATTGCAATTAACAATTTCATTGGTGCCGGCGGGGATCAAACCCGTGTTGCACGCGTACTGTGAATCTTAAAGCGAGCGCTAACCATCTGAGCTACCACGGGCTGAGTATGCTGTGCCTCAAAAACTTTTTGTTAATTTCCCAATAGGGTTTCCTGATGATGTTTCTTTTAGTATTGAGTATCTGTTAAATCAGCACTTAAAATAGAAATCAATTCCATAGCTGCAGCCAGGCTTGGTTTTGGTTACCTTAGATTTGCCGGATCGAAATTGGTATGCTCGTGTATTACTAGATTCCTAGTCCCTGCGTTACCCTGAACTCCTGTTTATGTTGCACTTTATCTTACAGAATATGCCACTACAGCCAAAAGTTCTTCAGCAAGAATTTCCGGAAAGTTCCATTATCAGCCAGAAACTTGATGACGGTGGGTGTTGGGTTGGCATCTATACCGTTCATAGTGCACCCCATTGATAACAGTGTGACACTTTTAATGAACCTCACATATAGGAGGTGGGTCAAAGATTAGTACATGGACTGGTATCTTTTATAGTAGATTGTTGTATTTGGGATTTACGAGTAACTATAACAAATTTGTTATAGTTCGTATGCAAGAATAAAATTGTACCTACCTCATGCTACAATATAGTAAGTGTTATTTTATTTATCAATGGAACAGTTAATATGGTATTTACAGTGCAATAAATCTAAGAAATACCTTTTGATGATTCATATTTTTCATGAAAAATTTTTCATGGTAAAGGCAAGGAATTATGAAGTAATTTGTATTTCATTACAACATTTATAATTCTTAAGGCGACACTGCGAAAAAATGCACCTCCTTTTATCGAATAGTATAGGAGTTTGACACGACTAACGAAACTGGAATTTTGATATAGGTAAATTCATGTCTTTATCTTGAATTTGCTTGTTCAAAACCACGATTGTAAAATTTTGACTCGATCATAATAATTTGCGAAAACACCTCTAAAAAATCACTATAGTTGAAATTACAACGAAATTACTTAATCTATATGCCTGGGAACCACTCAAATACATTCATAACATCAATATTCGTAATTTACTTGCTCATTATTTTGATTTCTAAAATCAATAATTTTTTAAAAATATTTTAAGATTCTACGCGATTTCTAAGCGGTCTGAATCGTCGCTGGCGCTACGCAATTTTGGACCTTATGACGACGGTTTTGAAGTTTATATAGAAATTATGTTTCACTCGGGTCAATCCGGCGATAGCTCGCGTCAACGGTTTTCGACGTGTCGCTTTAATCACTAATTTTAATTTGAATATTTCAAACAAGGAAAAAATAATTTAAATTAATTTCAATCGTTATATTGTTAGGTATGTATAAAACATGTTTATTCAAATAATCTTTCGTTAATCATTAAATCAGATTTATTCATTTAATGATGAACGTTTTTATTTTTTCTAAAAGAGAGACAATTACTTTAAGATGCCATTAATTTTTTGATTATTTATTTATTTAAAATCTTTATTGCACATAAAGTGTACAATTGGCGGACAAGCTAAGCAAAGAAACTTAATGATTAAATTGCCATAAAAGCATAAATATATATAGGTACAGGGATATTGTTTTAAAAGAATAACCAAATTTTAAATTTATGTACAAATATGTAAATTATGATATACTGTTATTGCAGTTTCTGAAAATATGAGTAAATAAGGTTTCTACTTTTATTTGAAATTATCCCAAATTGAACGTGATTTGCCTACCAATCGACCCTTACGAATGAGTGGTGTGCAATAAAATCAGTTAAAATAATGCATTACATGGTAGAGCCATGCTGCAGCTATATTTCTGGTATAGTTGTAACACGAATGGGTCGGCTCGAGCGGGGAAGAACCACACTCTCACTGAATACCAGCGTAAAATAGCAGTTTAATGCTGCTGCGTTTCGTATTGTGAGTGTAGAGAACCGGAGACCCTTTTTACTGGAAACCGAGGCATTCCATCTTAGTTCTCACGGGTGACAACGCATCTGCATTTTGATTTGTAATCGAAGATAAATGTAGATGTCTATGAGCCACAGCAACCACTTACCATCAGGTGGACTGTGTGCCTGTTTGTCACCCTTATCCTATAAAAAAAATTACCATGCAATAAAAAGCACAGAATGTTTGAGATATTTTTTAATCAAATTTGGTCGACTATTGCAAAGTAACCCTGTATATATTAATACATTTAAATATACTTATAAATATATATTACTAGAAATAAACAAAAACAGTTTAAACAAAAAATTAGTTAAACTTTATTACTTAAACATTTAACATTACTTATTAGTTAAACATGATACACAGCAGCATTAAGCTGCCATTTTACGCTGGTATTCTGTGAGAGCGTGGTCCTTCCCCGGTCGAGCCGACCCATTCGTGCTACAACTACACAACTAATATAGCTGCAGCATGGCTCTACCGCATATAATCTATCCGGTTTAAGTTATCCGGATCTAATTTAATCTGGCATTACTAAGCAAACTATAATTGATTACCAACTCTTAAAGAATCAATATCGGTTTCTCTTAATAATTGAACACTATATGGTTTGTGTAGGATCATCTTATTTGGTGCACATGCAGAGTCTAATATATCTGATAACTGGGTAAAGGTATTTCTTAGATTTGTTGCATTATGGTGGCGTTTTATTAAAAAGAGATGTAGGTGGAGAAAATATGTGTTCAATTTTCAGAATCTGAAATGTACTTTATGCTATTATTAATATGCTACCAAACTGGTATTTGTTTTGCAAGCTTCAAGCCGAACGTTCATCGCGAACTAAACTATGTGAAAACTAGGCTCAGTGAGCTAAGCTAATCTAACCTGGAAAATCATTGCACGTCCGCCGAAAAATAAGCAACACTAAGCGAAATGCGCCAGAGGGGTAAGGTAAGGGGGGATGAGAGGCCTTTTTAGTTAGAGAGGGTTTGTTAGCTTAGTTAGTTTGGCTATTTTACCTCGCTTAGGAGGCATAGTTTGCGGTTGACGCACATGTATGAAAAACTGGCTCAGCTATACGAGCTAAGATAAACTAAGTTTAGTTTGCGGTGGACGTTTGGCTTTAATCTTTTCCTTGCTTACTATCTTTCCTTATTTGCTATTGGTGTTTGGTGGGCTTCTTTTTTTATTTCTTTCATTTTATTTGCTTGCGTTTTTATTTCTTTCTTTGCTTTAATTAGCTCACATTATATATTATTTGCTTTATTATATTACCTTGCAGGTTTGAAATGTCTTTTTCTTGTGTTTCTAATTCTCGTATTGATATTATTATTAAACAGCTTTCAGTATAACTAATAACAACAGAATTTATCGCGTTTATCAATGTATTCTAAAATCGCGACATTTTCGAGTGCGCTGCAGCAATTAAATGACATAGTGTGACAAAAAAGCTAGTCGATAGTTGGCACTGAGGTATAGCCTCAGTGTCAACTAGCGACATCTGGTGAGCAGGAAATTATTAGCCCTCATTGCCATAGCTGCACGCTTGGGGTTAGCAACCAGTTTGTAATTTTTTAGTTCTTGTTAGCAAGACGCTGTTGCCCATCTCCTGGGTTGTTTCCCTCTGTCGCCTCTTACGACACCCACGGTACGTTACAGGGTAGTGGACACCCTACCCCACACACTCATGCATGTTTTTAAACACCATTTTTTGCTATCTGACAACATATGTAATTGTGTATTTAATCTTCTAACATAAGAGCTGAAGGGTAAAGCGAGGCCTAAGGTGTGTTTGTAACTCTTAACCTTTATTTTGCAACTTCCGTAATCAAGTGCGAATATTTTAAATTTGCTTGTGTAAAGTTAGCAACAAGGATCGACACGGTAAGTTTCAGAGACAAAGTTATAATATTCGTACTTTACACATGTCTGCACAATATCGCATTTGATAATAATTTATTCTCGTCCAGAAATATGGACCACTGTTTACCTAGCTTTAAAAATATTGTAATAGCTTTAGTGATGTGATCGATATAATTTTTATAAAATGTGCACAACCTAATACTGATATTCTGAAATGATTATATTTTAATTTGTATAAAGTAGCAACTTATCCGTCAAATGTCGTTAAAAAAATTTGCCTTAACAAGACTTACTTAACTTGTCAAGAAATTTGTTCCTTTCTTGACTGAAATTTTGTATAAATATAATAGAGTAAATAAGGCATTGAAAGTGAATTGAAAATGACATTACATATTAAAGTAGAAAAATGTTCTTTTTTTAAAACACGATTTTTACCGTAAGATTAATGTAATTAGTTATATAATGTGTTCTTGTTTATTTGTGCCTTAAATTAATTTATATATTATGCTAGTGCATGTTGAATATTCATACTGATTGTAATCGTTACCCGAGAAAAAATCTCGTACAATATTTACATTCCTATTGGTATTTTTAGGTGAATTATCTGAAATATAAACAAGCATATTGTTGTGACTATTTTGATTAGTCTGTAGTAAAGCTTTATTAGAAATTTATAGGCTGTGATAGATGAAATTTATTTCATGATTTTCGATTGAGCTTTTCATCGAGTAGAGATAAATATCGTATAAGATGTAATTTTATCGATAAACTTGAGTGTTGTCCATCCCTATTAGAAATTCATACCAGGTATATAGAGACTCAGTAACTACATACTAATTTTACGCTTTTTACTACTTATAATGTTTTGTATGACAGTCTTCACTCGTTAAAAATTTCGACCTTAACGCCACTGAATTAAGGATAGTCCTTTCAAAAATAATAAATCGAAAATTTAATACGCGGAAATGACGTCCGGCCACAGTGTTCCCGCCAAATCCGGTCATTGCAATATCGCCTCGCTTGTGAAAGTTTATGTTCACAAGTTTTTTGCACACAGGCTGAAGATAAAATCATAGGTTGACTAATGGCTGCATTATATTCCCAAATTCCCGGCTGAATTTTTTTAGGAATTATAATACCGAATTCTTTAAATCTACTAGTTTTTATTTGTTAATTATTAATTCTTCAATAGCTTTGAATCTCAAATCAATTGACTTCTCAAATGAATAGATTCTTTATATAACGTGAGTTTTTTGGGTAGGCAAAATCAATTAAATTGACTTTATAAATCCTTTCATTCAACACCTGGAAATAAAAAGTCTCGTCAATTATTTAGTAAAAAGATTATCGCCATTTTAGTATAGTTACACAAGTTATATAATTAGTTGCAAATTGTTAATTGGCATTTTCTGGATTAGTGTTTTCTCATCGACGGTAGAAACGAGTGGAAGACAGTGCTGAAGCTTCACACAACCCCGCGCTTGTGTACCTGTCACCTACAGTAGTACAGATATGGTAAATAACGCAATATTTAGTTAATTAATAGAATCGGGCGTTATTTTAACCCACTCAGAAGTGGGAGGAGGCTTGTGCCCAGCAGTGGGACGTATATAGACTGTTACTTTAGGCGTTATTTTGTGGAAATCAATTATATTATAGATGTTAAAATTTTATTGACTAAGATCCGC